AAGGTATTGTATAGGGTTAGAATCAAAATTCTACAGCAACGCGTTGGAGAAAGAGATTAGTTATAACCCTGGAAAGGTTTTCATAACTATACGTCTTAATTAATGATAATATTTCAGGCAATAGAATTTTGTATAAGGCGGCAGAATTACTGAGTGCAAAGGTCCAAGAAAATATCCAAAGGATAGCAAGTATTTTGAAAAGGATAAAGTTCTTGGAGGGGTTGTGGTTTGGAGAGAGACAATGTGAAATAAGGCTGAAAATAGGCAGGGTTTAGCTAGATTACTGAGAACTTTATATACCAGCCTGTGGTGTTTGTCTATAGGCAAAGGCAACTACCAGCACTGGAATTCGGGAAGTAGTCAATGGATTTCAATTCATGAATGTGAGTTCCAGCTAGGGTACTTACCAGCTATTTGTTGGGCAAGCTGTGTAATCACTCCATACCTCAATTTCTCCTACTTCAAAGTAAAATAAAACACACACGCGTGTGCACACACACAGCCATTATTGTTTTAAGGATTAGATTAAACGTGCTAATACATGAAGAATGTTTAGATTCCTTCCAGGAATATACTGGGGCTTAACATTAAAATTCTTACTGTTATTATTAATAGCTCCCATTATCTGAGCTGAGTCTGGGGCATTTAATTCTGGATAGTTTAAAATGAAATGAGAGAGAATAGCAGAAGAAGATAGTTTAGAAGGCAACTGCAAAAAAGACAATGTAAAATGAAAAGTGGGATTAAGACAAGAAATACTTTCAAGTTCTAGACCCAACATTTACCTGCAGACTTAATAGCATTGGGCCAGTCATTTAACATTTTGAATCAAAGTCTACGTTTCTTTCACTGTAAAATGGGATGATAAAAATGTGATGGATTTAAGGAGATTGAGTATTAAGGAATAAGCTGTCTTTTTCAGTTTAGAAAGGAATTTCTACTTGGTGAAGTATAAGTTTTTTTAAATATAAAAGTAATTTTTTTTTTCTCTAGACACTGACATAAATCTACATGCCACAGTTAGTAATTTTAGATTTTAGAAAGTCTGGTCTTTACTTCTTTTTCCATTCTAGAAACTTGGAGCATATACGTTTGTGTCTATGAGTATGGGCGGTATAGTTGGTCCTGAGATACTGAACCTACGTTGCCAAGACTCTACAACTCTGCTCTTAGAGATTGGAAGGATGTGACCACGTGTCGATGATGGAGAAGTGTCATGATATCACTTGGTTCTTATTACTGTTAGTAGTTATGGTTTGTGAGATAACATCCACTTAGATGGTAGATATCGTTTACTTGGTGTTCACTGGATTTCATTTCACCTTGGTCCCTTCAATTCTTCAAAGAGGGGCAATCATGTCTCCATTCAACCCATTCTCTTCATGTACATAACTTCACTTGACTTGGGAAGGGCTACAACTTCTTTCGACTTCTCTGACTTTTCTGTGCTTATAGAATAGCTAAAGTCTTTGTGTGTTTCTCCATGATTTTATTCTTAGGCACACTTTATAATAATCTTTTCCTTCCCTGCTGTTGAGGAATACTTCAGTAAACATGCAGCCTGCAGGAAACTCCAAACAAAAGCAGGTGCTAGTCTCAAAGTTCACATTTGGCCCCAAATCAGGGGATATGTGTCAAACTCTCATAAAAACAAATTGCTCAGCATACTCTGCTCTTCTTATATACAAGAGAGACATGAAAATTCTACAGTCACACTAACAATCTGGGATTAGGATGATACTTCTATTATTTCTGACTTCATATTCTGCACACCTTTGGAGTATTCTACATCTC